CCCTCATGGCACCTCCCCTTGGCTGGGTGCCCTGCCACTCCCCCTCACCCAGTGCCTCCTGCTGATGGCCCAGGCCTGCTCCAACAGCCCCCTTCTCCACGCTCCGCCCTCAAGCTGAGAACTCCTGGCAGGCTGCCTGGCCCAGGAGTCCTACAGGACATCGCTGGGGAGAGGGAAGGAGGTGTCCATGGAAGTTCAAACCGCTGTCACCACGCAGCGCCAGTGTCTGATTTCGATAAAACATATTAATTCCAGGTTAGCAAAATGTTTTATTAATGGTTTGATTTAATAAAAAACAATTAACAATATAAAAGCAAAATTAAGTGCTTAAAACATTTTAGGGGAGCACAACTTCAAGAAAAAAAAGGGGGGGGGAAGGCAAGAATCGATAAAATGATTTTGAGAAATGGCCTCCTAAAGCATAAGCCAGTGATGGCGAACCTTTTGAGCTCGGCGTGTCAGCATTTTGAAAAACCCTAACTTAACTCTGGTGCCGTGTCACATATAGAAATTTTTTGATATTTGCAACCATAGTAAAACAAAGACTTATATTTTTGATATTTATTTTATATATTTAAATGCTATTTAACAAAGAAAAATCAACCAAAAAAATGAGTTCACATGTCACCTCTGACACGCGTGTCATAGGTTCACCATCACTGGCATAAGCCAACTAATTGTCACCACGTTTCCTACCCACACAGGGGAGGGGGCACAAGAGGCTCTTGATAATAAAAAGTACCAGGCCTTGGTAAAGAAATATAGAAGTGCCAAAAACTAAAAAAACTCAAGCAACCTCATCTGGGCCCCGTGCCTATATCTTTGCAGCCGAATCGGACTCCCACAGCCACTCACCCTTCCCTGAGGGTCACTTCCCCAGGGAATGCCAGGTCCTGGCTACAGCGTGGCTGGCAAACCCTCCCAAGTGGGTTTATGTCCAGACCCCAGACTGGTCACTTTTGAGTGACTTACCCAGGAGGCCCCAGCTAAACGGCTCTCAAATGTCTGAATGGGAGGGTCCTAGGCCAGCACCTGACCGGGAGCGGGCAGTGGGGGAAGCCCAGGTGAACCCCCCGAGCAAGCTCACTGGTTTACTTAGACGGCATGTTACAGGTCAATAAAAACAGCTCCACCTCCACTGGGTAAACAACAACCATCTGCAGCTCTTAAAATGTGGGCTCCGGCTCTAGAGGCTAAACGCCATAGCGACCATGACACCCAATTCTCACAAAAGACAAAGGCAAGTCTAGAGAGCTTCTGAGAAACCTTCTGCTTTACTGACAATAGAACACCAGCGACTGGTCCCACTCTTTCCTCCATGTCCCTGCCTTGAAGATGGTGTCATACATGGACTCACCGCCCTCGTCTTATGACCACGAGGCAACAAGCAGAAGAACAGAGAGCCAGAGAATAGAGTGGAAACACACAGCCTGGGCTCCTGAAGACATACTGAGCTGCTGACCCATCCCCAGGCGTCTCATTAAGTAAACACCCATATCTGAGCTTCCGCCACTGTTTCTTGTAGCCAACGCCATGTGTACAGGACACACTGGACTCAGCCTGATTTCAAAGCATCATTTGTTGTCAGAAGCAGCGTGGTTCAGTGAAAAGCATCGCCTGACTCCTCTGGGCCTCAGTTTCCTCGTCTTTAAAGTGATTATTCTGCCCGGGGACTCCTGAGGAGTAAGAGTACCTGGAGACGGCAATAGTAATTATTGTTATTGTGGGCAGAGAGCACTTGCTCTAAGTCTTTTATTTACATCGACGTATTTAGTTCTCACCACAATCCTGTGAGGTAAGTATTTTAATTGTCCCCGTTTTGCACAGAAGGAAACTAAAGCAAAGCAAGTTAGGGGACTTGCCCAAGTAAGACCTAAAGCCTAGACTTAAAGCCAGTGGCCAGAATCCCTGTCCTGAGCCACTCGACTTGTCATTTCTGGATCATACTAAGTCTTCAATAAGTGCCGCCTTATTATTATTATTATTATTATTATTATTATCAGTAGGATTCTAGTATAACTGACAAAGCATATTCCCCTTAAGATCTGTCTTTTAAGGAAGTGATTTTGGGGACCTGGGAAGGGAGATATTGAATTAACAAAACTTGGTGTGTAAAATGCGTGGTTACTTGACCAATCCACTGAGTTAAATACAAATGGGTTTGGGTACCTCTAGGTTAAGGGCACGTGTCCAGTGTCACATGTGCCGATTAGCTCTGTACTTTGTTTAAAACCCTTACACCAGCCAACACCCCCAATGAGTGTGACTAGCACCTGCCAGGAAGCTCACAAGCTGCACCTCATTTCCAGAGAAATGACCCTGAGCACAGATGCCAGAGCAGCGTCTGGCACCGCCCACCTCGGTGCCTCACTGGGGTTCCAGGGGCTCTGGCCTAAAGCTTCCCAGGCAAGGCCGAGGGCCAAATGACAACTGACTTCATCCCAAACCCAAACCCAGCCCTCAGCTAGACCCCACCTGAAGCAGGTGGGAGAGGATCTGAAGGGTCCTGGGTCCTGGGGAAGGGCACCATAGTCAGCTGGTGATGTCTGCCATGAGCATGGGATGGGGTGAGGGTGGCATGAGTGACTTATAGTTAGACACCTGCCCATACCTTCTTCCTGCACCTGGGACTAATGCTCCAAGCAGTGAGGGAATGTGCTGGTTAGAGCTGAGAGAAGGAGGCAGGGTATATCCTCCCAACCTCAGAATGGGGCCCAGGACTGGGGAGGATTCTGGGCACAGCATCTCCTGGGACCACCGTCCTCATTGCCCACCCCCCACCCTGCCCTCCACGGACACACAGGACCCAAGGTAAGTTGGGTGAAGAGAGGAACCTGAGGTGAATGGAGGAGAACAGCAATTAACAGAGCTGACTGGTAGGGAAGCTGTGAGAGAAGATGACCAGGTAACCCTGCCTCTTGGCCTAATAAACAGGGTTTGGGGCTGGTGGCTTCTGCCACTGTAAGCCACATTACCATGTGCTGTGTTTCATAAGCCCAGAGAGTTAAACCACCAACCAGAATTGCTGTTTGGTTCATTCAGGACTCTATCCTCCCACACTGACCCTCCCCCAGTTCAAGCACACCCCATCTTCCTGGCCTGACTCTCGGCGCTGGCCCAGTCTTAGCTCGGCCTCCTCCTGTAGCAAGGGCACTCTTGGAGCCCTCGCCCCCTGCCCGGAGGAGCATGTGCAGGAGGGAGCAGGCAGCTCTTCTCCAGCTCAGCTCAGCTCCAAGAGGCTCTGAGCAGTGACTAGACTTCACAAGTCACTCAGTCAGGGGGTCCTGTCTATTCCTCGTCAGGGAAGGCCCAGGAGCACTCAGGATCGGTCTTAGCTCAGGTGCTGTAGAAAGCAGAGCCTGAGACAAGGATGAAATGCTGACATTTCCCTCAGGAGCAGTAAACCCGGGGCAAAGAGAAGAAAAGGGAAAGGAAGACAAAGATCGATGTGAGGTGCAGGGTGATCCCGCCAGCCACCTGGCACTCAGGACTCCTCTGGGAGGCCTGCACGACCTGCCCATCTCAGAGCGGTCCAGCAGAGCAGCAGGAAGGAGCGTGCCCCTTCGCAGCCCGCCCGCCTCTCACTTTCTGTAGGTGAAGGTTCACCTGTGGAAAACTAGCTCCGTGCATGTTCAGGCTTCATCAGCAGGCCCTGCAGTGGCCGCTGAGACCAGCTCCGCGGCTCAGGATGCAGCCTCTTAGCAGAGTCCGGAGGGTAGGTGGTAGCATGCTGTGGTTGGAGCACCTCCCAGGAGACCCAATAGAGGGAACCTGGGAGGCACCCACGTCTGTGATAGACACAGGAGTCCAGGCACTCACCCAAGGGATCCTGGCAGTACAGGAAAGGGTGTAGGGACATGGAATACTGGGCACTGCCTGTGGGTGACAGAGCCAGGGCCACTGCCAATGGGACTCTGATGCTTTCACTGTGTGACCTCATCTGGAGACACGTGGGCCCAGACACGTCAGCCGTGGGAGGCATCAAGGCCTGATTCTCTGATCCCAGAATGCACCTCCCTCAGAATGCACCTAAGAAGAGCAGAATCTAGATCTGCCTTTTCCCACAAAAGGACAGGACAAAGGGACAAAACCCTCAATTCAACACCCACTGTGCCCTGCTCAGTGCTGTGCACCTGCCTCACATCATGCTCTCCTCGGATTTTCTTCTTTTTTAAATCAAAACTGATGTCTGCGAGAGCTTCTGGTTGTTCAGAAGCAGAAATGCATCCAGGGCAAGACAAAGGTCATCACAGCCCAATGGTGGAACAACTGGTTGCTATGATATGCACTGACCACCAGGGGGCAGACGCTCAATGCAGGAGCTGCCCCCTGGTAGTCAGTTCTCCCACAAGGGGAGCACCGTTCAGCCAGAAGCTGGCTCACGGCTGGCAAGCATAGCAGTGGTGGCGGGAACCTCTCCCACTTCTGCGGCAGCACTAAGGATGTCCGACTGACAGCTTAGGCCCGCTCCCTGCAGGCCTAAGCCATCAGTCGGACATCCCCCAAGGGCTCCTGGACTGCAAGAGAGCACAGGCCAGGCTGAGGGACACACCCCCACCCCCCGAGTGCACGAATTTCTTGCACTGGACCTCTAGTACAAAATAAACCTTACAGCTAAATCAATTTTTACTCATGCTCTAGATAAGCTCCGCCTTGATGACTTGCTGGGTCCTTCTTAGGGTTTGCTACATGCTGCAGTGGTTCCAGTGTGCAGACCGGTCACCCACAGCTTGCGCAGCACTTCTTGAACATTCGTAATAAATGAATGGATTCAGTCACATCAACCCCACTTTACAAATATAGACATCGGGACACAGAGATGTTGACTTATTCTCATCTAAGAGCTAATAAACTGATGGCAGGAAAGCCTGGGAATAACACTCTTTAAACACATTCTGCCTCTGAGTTCCTCCAGCTGAGCTGGGAGCTGGGAGCTGGGAGCTGGGAGCTAGGGATGACCAGGGCCCGGCCTCCCCCAGAGGAGACGCCATGTGCCTTACCTGAGGGACATCAGGCTGCTCGCTGTTGCTCTGTCTCCGTAGCAGTTCAGGGGCCTTGAAAGGAGCGGCCTCTATGTGAGATGCATGGCCAAGGAAAGAAGACTTCCAAACCCAGAAAGCAAGGTCAGCCAGGGGCAGACCACGTAGTCTGCGGAGCCTGAAAGCCAGGCAGAGCGGGGTGTAGAGACCGGGCCGCTGCCTGGCTGGCCAGCCGGGGAGTGCCCAGGGGAGGCCTTCCAGCAGCCCCGCTGGGATGGGCTGAGGGCTGGCCCCGGCAAACACGGAATGGAGCAAATGCGACCAGGATGCATGCATGCACAGCAGCATGTGCTACAGAGGTGCCGACCTCTGTGGCCAGGAAACTAACCTGCCTCCAAATCCATCGTGGCCAGGTGTCTCGAGGGCAAGCCCGACTTCCCCGAAGCCAGGCCAGGGGCCAGGCAGCCGGTGTTCTGGGGTCCCAGAGCCCTGCGTCAGACCTTCAGGGCAGGGAGGAGGGAGTGAGGAGGACTCGGGGAGATGATGGAGCTTTAGATGCAGGTGCACAGCCTCCCTTCGTCTCCCTGTGCTGGCACCCTTCTCCCGGACTGTGCATGTGTGATCATGCCTGTGGGGTACGATCCACTACAGGCCTGCAGCCCCCAACCCTCTGAGTGGGGATTCAATGCTTGTCCTAGTTGTCCATGTGTCTCTTAGCTACAAATCCATCTTTCAGTGCCTGCTGGGTCCCTTAAGCATCTCACCTTTACAGCGAGTGCAACATGCAGCTTCCTCGGTAGAGGGCGCTGGAGAGACACTGCTGTTTCTCAGGGTCAGAGGTGTGTGTGAGAGGACACCTGGTGATGCTTTGCACCAACATCGCCCAGGACACCGGTCCCTCTGCCACCTCCTGGCCGGCCTTGCCAAGTAGTCACACAAACGCTGCGGCTCCAGGCCTCCCACCCGCAACAGCTCCGGAGCTGCAGCTCGCCTGCACCCGCCACCACCCAGAGGCCGATTGGCTATGGTCTGTGCCCCGCCTGTCCAGTGACTGCAGGCCAACTATCCCAGGCACAGCAGCACAGACCCAGGTCCCAGCCTGGCAAGCAGACTTCCCCCAAAGTGTCTCCCCCACTGGGACTGCCCTCAGCCCTAGGGGGCTGTGTAGGGTTTCCTCATACCTTACAGTGACTGTTCTAGTGGAGTTGAGTCATTCTTGGCATTACCCTTCCCTGTTTAGACCAGGAGTGTGTGGGTTCCAGCTCCTGATGGGCCACAAGCTGCACAGCATCCCGCAGGGGCTGCCCTGCCTCCTGTCTCTGGTGATGCCCGCATGCCCAAGTGGTGGAAGAGGCCACCACTCTCCCCAGCCACCATGCCCAGAAAAACTGCAATGCCTTTCTTCCAACTTGCCCGGGGCCATGGGTCCCAGACAGCTTGCCCTCACAGTGCAGCTCGGGGGGAGGGGGAGGGAGGGGGCCGGCGGTTGCAGTTCCTAATCACTGTCATTCTCGGGCTGATCAAGAAGCAGCACCTGGAAATGTGTTTGTTTGGGAAGCTTCACATCCACCACTCCGCACCCCACACCCGCCACTCCGATGTCCTAAACACACCCCCTTACCCTCACAGGGGTCCCCAGGAGCTGCTCCGCAGCCAGGGACAAGAGCGACCAGATGTCCTCCTCTGGTAGAGCTACGCCCGTACCTGCTCCTCAGAGGTTGGCTGGCTAATAGGCTCTCGGTGAGTGAGAAATAAATCAATAAGAAAATTCCCACTCACGGGCTAAGTGAATGAATGGATGATTGCACAAATGAGCGTGCAAATGGCACCCCTCTGGGCTGGGCGTGAGCTGCTGCAGAGAGCGGCCTCTGCCAGGTGCACCCCTCGATGGCTCCCTTCTCTGGGAAACTGGACCCCCGCTTGCCTGGAATACATGAGCCAGGTCTCTTCCTCTCCAGCCGCCACGTGCAAGGTTGGATTTGGTTCCAGCACCGCCTGATGGTCCTGTTTCTAATGGTCACCAGCACCTGCCTGAAGAGAGGAAGCCACTAAAAGGAATAGCGAGGCCGTGTTTGGAAAGGTGCAGACTCGCAGGGAAGCTCCAGGCTTCTCTGCTGGAGGGAGGTGCCATCCCAGGGAAGTGAATGGAGAATGAGGCCTTCTCAGATCCATGTGTCTTTTCCATACATGTGAGCCCTTAGGACTCTCAGAAATGACCCTCCTCAGCTCTAGGCTCCCTGTAAACTAGATCTCTCTGTAATGGCTGCAGAGCCTCAGAGAAAAACATGCTCAGCTAGAAAGACACATCTCCAAAACGGGTGGATGGACTCGTTAGCCCATTGCCAACCCTCGCCAATCCTCGAAGAATTAAAACAGCACTGTCCTGGGTCGGAGGTGTGTGGCTCCAGAATATCAAAGCATACTACATCCTCTTACTGTCTCAATTCTTCCCATGCTGGGTTGAGCAGAGAGAGGTGATTGTGGAAAAGCAACTAATTAGGCAGGGGCAGTGGGGGGATAGGGGAGCTCTACAGGAGAGCGGAACCGGTCTTCGTTCCTACAGAAGGAATCCTCTCGCTCTAGGCTTCCCTCCCATCATCGCACAGCTGTATTTCGGCGGGGGCCTGTTTGCATGCATGCGTGTGTGTGTGTGCATGTGTGTTTATTGGACACAAGGGAGAGCTTGTAGACGAAAGGGGCCATATGCTAACCTGACTAGTTCAGGGAAGGCCTACATGGCAGTTGTACAAACTCAGAAACCTAAAATAACCACAAAAGATGGTCTGAAAATTAAATATTTAACTACAAACAGGTTATGGTGGGTAGTCATGTCCTAGGCCAGTATTTTCCCTGACAAAGATCAACTTAGATCTTTACTGAGCCCATTTGTCTTTTTGCCTCTCAGATAACATATTGGTGAAATGACTGGGTAACTTATAACTTCCCTTTTTTCTGGACCCCTCAGGGCACAACAAATGGCACCAGGACATTCCCTCATTATTATTGTTATCAAGTTAATTGTCAACTGTTAATTATGTAAAACTATCCTGTACCCATCTGTGTAAGAGAAGCACAAGTCCATCATTTCACTTTTTACCCTATCCCAGAGGTTTCCCTGCTTTGCTTTATCCCACCTCCTTAACCTATCACCAATGAATTTCATGTAACCCACCTCCGTCCCTTTCCTTTGATTGCTTTGTATAAATACAGATGTAATCCGCCATTCTCCGGAGCATTATCTCAATTCAGGATCTAGGACTAGGCAAACTGTTCTTAAATGACACAGAAAGCACACTTTCTAAAAGAAAAAATTGACAAATTGGACCTTATCAAAATTAAAAACTTTTGCTCTGAGAAAGAAACTGTTAAAAGCTATAGACTGGGAGAAAATATTTGAAAACCCCATACCTGACAAAGTACACATAAATGGAATACATTAAAAACTCTCAAAACTCATCAATAATAAAACAAACAATCCATTTAGGAAATGGGCAAAGGACATGAACAGATATTCCATCAAAGAGAGTATGCAAATTATAAAAAAGTGTGAGAAAAGATGTTGAAGACTACTAGCCATTAGAGAATGACAAGATGCCCCCGCGCACCTACCAGAATGACCAACAGAAAGAACTGAGACACCGCGTGAGGGGAGGATGCCGAGACGCTGGCCCTCAGGCCTGGCTGATGAGAACATGCGATGGCGCAGCTACCTGCACAGCATTGTGGCAGTTTCTTACAAAACTCAGCATGCAATTAGCATTCAATCCAGCAATCGCACTTTGTGCATTTACCCTAAAGCAGCGGTTCTCAACATGTGGGTCGCGACCCCTTTGGGGGTCAAACGACCCTTTCATAGGGGTTGCCTAAGACCATCAGAAAACACATATATAATGACATATTGTTTTTGTGATTAATCACTATGCTTTAATTATGTTCAATTTGTAACAATGAAAATACATCCTGCATATCAGATATTTACATTATGATTCATAACAGTAGCAAAATTACAGTTATGAAGTAGCAATGAAAATAATTTTATGGTTGGGGGTCACCACAACATGAGGAACTGCATTAAAGGGCTGCGGCATTAGGAAGGTTGAGAATCACTGCCCTGAAGAAATAGTAATTCATCTACACTAATAAAAGAGAAACATGGTAATTAGCGTACGACCGCTACCCTTTTCATTGGCTAATCAGTGAGTATATGCAAATTAACTGTCAGCCAAGATGGCGGTTAATTTGCATATATTGGCTGGGAGCAAAACAAGCCAGCGGGGCGGCTGAGGGAGGCGGGAACGATCAAGCTGGCCGGGCGGCTGAGGGAGGCGGGAACAACAAAGCGGGCCAGGCGGCTGAGGGAGGCCCGAACAATCAAGCTGGGCCGGGAGGCTGAGGGAGGCGGGAACGATCAACCTGGGCCCAGGCTGAGGGAGGCGGAACGAAACAAGCCGGACTCCCCCTGTGGGGTCCCAGACTGCGAGAGGGCACAGGCCGGCCTGAGGGACCCCCGCCTTCCCCGAGTGCACAAATTGTTGTGCACCGGGCCTCTAGTCTATATATAAAAAGCCAGCGACCAGAACACCATAATGATCAGAACAACTGGTAGCTATGACGCCCACTGCAGCCAGCAAACCTGCCCAATCAGGGGGTGGGGCCGACCGGCCAACCTCCCTCAGCCCCTCCCCCCAGCTGGCCCCGCCCCTGATTGACCTCTCCCACCCTGATCAATGGCAGGGCAGCTAGCCAACCTCCCCTCGGCCATTCCCCCCAGCTGGCCCATCCCACCCCGCCCCTGATTGCCACCCCATCCCAATAGGGGGTGGGACCAGCCAGCCAACCTCCTGCAGCCCCTCCCCTCACCTAGCCCCCCACTCCATAGCCCCCCCACCTTGATCAAGGGCAGGGCTGGCCAGCCAACCACCTGCAGCCCCTCCCCCATCTGGCCCCACACCTGATGGGCCCCCATCACCCCAGTCGGCCCGCAGCCTCTCCCCCTAGTCAGCTCTGCCACTGATCGGCACCCCCCACGCCAATCAGAGGCAGGGCCAGCTGGCCAACCATCCATAGCCCGTCCCCCAGCCGCTGACTCCTGATCAGCTCCCCCCCCACCCCATTCAGGGGCAGGGCCAGCTGGCCAATCGCCTGCAGCCCCTCCCCGCAGGCAGCCCAGCCCTGATTGGCCACGATTGGGTCAGGCTGGCTGGCCATCCTCCCGCCATCTCCTCCTCCCAACAGGCCCAGACCCAATTTGCCGATTGGGGTCAGGCCGGCAGGACCCCACCTGTGCAAAAATTTATGCACTGAGCCTCTAGTGTTTACATAAAAACCTATACATGAATGTTTGTAGCAGCTCTATTTGTAATAGTCAAAAACTGGAAGCAAAACAAATTATCTTCAATAATGATTAAGCAAACCAGGTACTAAATAAAATGCTACTTAGCAATTAAAAAGAATGAACTATAGACACATACAACTTAGATGAATTCCAGAGAAATATGCTGAGGAAAATAGTCTCAATGGTTATATACTGTATGATTCCATTCATATAACATCCTTGAAATGACAAAAATTATAGAAATAGAGAAGAAATTAGTGGTTGCCAGAGCTTAAGGATGGAGGGGAAGTGGGTGTGGTTATAAAGACAGCAGATGGGGTCCTGTGGGGATGGGACTGTTCTTCTCAGCTTAGTGATGTAGGCACAAACCTACACGTGTGATAAAACTACTCGAACTAACACTCCCGTGCACCCACATGCGAGTACAGGTGGTGGGAAATCAGAACCAGATCTGGCCTTGCCTCCACACCACCCTCCTGGTGTGATATTTTACTATAGCTTTGCTAGATGTTGTCATTGAGGGAAATTTGGTAAAGAGTACATGGATCCTTTGTATTATTTCTTACAACTGCATGTGAATCTACAATTATCTCCAGATTAAAAGTTTAATTTAAAAAAAAAACACAATGAGATATATTTTCACATCAACTAAATGGGGAAAAATAAGAGGTCCAGCGCCACTTGTTGGCAAATAAAGTGAAACCCTCATGCACTGCAGATGAGAATGTAAATTGGTTCAATCAACCACCTTGGAAAATAAATTAGCATGAACTAATACATTAGAACAACTGCATGTAAAAATAAAACTCACATGTCGGGTTGCTCAGTTCATGGACTCTCAGGCCATGGAGTGACACTGGACTCGGTGAGCACGGATGGCACTGTGTGGACACACCCTCTGGTGTGCACAGGAATGCACACATATGTGTGAAATGGTTACAATTGCCATACCTGCTTCTTCACTTCTTGAAGAGCTACAATTGAGCAGAAAAATAATATTTTGCCCATCACAGGTTTCTGTGCAGACTTTTAAAAGGAAGAGGCTGAACTTGGGGACGTAGAGATATTGGACATACACTTCCAGTCCATGAACAGGAAGGGAAATGTATGTACTGTGTATACTCACACTTGCAACTTACCACAGGCCAACTAGAGGCAAGTAAAAATATATACAACACGCAAAAGAGATTGGAATGGTACTTAGAACAAAATAAGCACTTTGTAAGTATTAACTTTTATGATTATTACTGGGCAACTCTAACCCAGCATTCGTGGGTAGTTAATGTACTATACTGAAATATTACCAGTTATTATAATTATAGATGGTCTTGGACCTAAAGATCTAGATTTAACAAACCAACATATTGAA